TCGCATATTCATCTTCGCACTTTAATTTTTGTCTGATGATCGGCAATAATTAGTGAATTATCATAAACAAATAATATATTTATAATATTATTAAAAATTGTGCTAATAATTATATAATTAAAATCATATAATAATTTAGTGTTGTTACTTAGATTCCATTATTTTTTTGCCACATTATTTGAAAAATATTTGTGATTTTGCAATAAGTTTTTAAAATCCGGAATTAGTGATCAGCAAATGATCGGCAAGGTGATATGAGCATGTCCGCTATGCTGGTCTGTCGTCCAATATTTGTTAAACTGGGGAAAGGCAAATGAGGAAAGAGCTATTTTGACTCGAAGAGTCTGATACTTATGCTGCCGTTTAACGGAACATTTAATAGCGTTCCTCCAAAATTTTAACTCTGCTATTATTTTCTGCAAGTTCCAGGTATACGGAATATCGTAAACTATTATGTCTCGGATTCGCTCTTGTTGTTCTCCGACAGCTTTGTATCCTGTCAGTATCTGTGTAGCCTCCAGTTCAGATGATTTCTTTCCCTTATGGGAATTTTTGGCTGATGTTTTCACATCAGGTTTTGCCTTTATTGATTGGTTCACGACTTGTTTATCATCTGTAACACGTGCCTTTTGTTTATCTTTCTTCCGGGAGTTTTTGGGTATTACAGTTTGATCAACAGGGGACATTACTATATCAGGCATTGATGGAAGCTTGATAGGTACTGGATTTGGTGGCATTTGAAATCCTTGGCGTAAAAGTTCATCTACATCGGGCTCAAGCGGATATGACTCATCCATCAGATAATCATCAGTATTCTGAGATCCATCGTTATCGTCGTCATCATCATCACCCGTATCGCCAAAATTGCAATAGAATTGGGTAGAAAAATTATCCCAAGACTTGGACGCAGCATATAGCGCTATAGAAAATATTAGCGAAAGGGTGGTGGGTTGTATATTCGTAGCTTGAGCTTGTGAAGTGAAGTTCACAGGGTTGGCTGTCTCGCCAAACCTCTGTATCAGTAACTGGGCTTTATCCTTAGGTACTGAGAGGTTTTTTTCAAATAAGTCCTTGAGGAAACTGTCCTGTACAAAAGAACTTAAGTTGTGTGTAAAAGTTTGAAAATAAATTTCGTTAAACTTAGAAACGAAGTCTAAAGCTTCTTCGTTTGGTGTTCGGCTCTTATCCATAGACATTTTTATATTTATGTAATAAAATTTAATAAAGGGGATTATTTTTTAAAAAAAATTATTACGCAGAAATTTTCGTAAAAAATGTATTCGGGAAAGAGTTTTTTTTTCGCAGTCATAAATAAATCACCTACAGTAAGATCAGCGACATGCATAAGTAGGATCGGCAATCATGTGATAACATGTGATTAGTCAATCTCGTTTCCACCGCTATCCCGAATCAACCTACAACATATATACACTAATTAGAGCAATTATGATTCATCAAAATGACTCTTATTTATTTATTTTATTTCTTAAAGAGAAGTTATCAATGATTATACAAATTTGAGCATCTATGATACTAAAGGTACAAAAATTTGCGTAAGTAACTAGAGATGATAAATTCTGTACATATTGGTACAAAATCTCACTCTCCGATAAAGACTGGAGCTGACCTAGATGAAACTTCACCACAAAGGACTGCCCATATATACTGGATAGTAAAAAAAAAGAATCAACCAAGGTAAACCTTTTCTAAAGCATCAGGCTTATAGAGTAGAAAACTATTCTGCTTATAAAAATAATACAAATTAGAAAATCTATAAAAGACTAAACTAATTTATATAATAAAACCAAAATTTCTGCTAAAACCTCCTTGTTTTTTTTATTACCACCCTTGTTCTTCAAGGTATTCTTTGCCTTCTTTTGAACGTTCAGATTCTTTGACTGATTATTATTCTTAGAAGCTTTTGTCAAGGATTGTTGTTTATCATTCTTCGTAGGCTGATTACTATCCAGAGCTTCGATTTTGATTGTGTCAACTCCTTATTTGTAGGTAAGTAAACTTGCAGCATATCTAAGACCTTAAGTGTAGTCTCCCAATTCTCAAAATAGGCACAAGTTTTCTCCTTCCTTTACTTGTTTAAATTATTTTAAACGAGCTAGCACTGCACTTTGTTAAACATTCAATTAGTTTATGGTCAATCCACAAGATAGTCTGATACTTATACTGAACATTTAATAGTATTACCCATAGTTTTAACTCTGCTAAAATTTTCAGCAGGTTCTAGGTATACAGGATATCATAATCTATTGGGATGGACCAGACCAGACCACAATCCTTAATACCCAGTTCTAAATAAAGACCGATCCCGATGATTGGTCAAAATCTATCACGTGATATTACACAAATCCAAAAAAAGAAATTTTTGTTTCCATTACACTTGGATCCTGGTTAAATTCTAGCCAGAATTATCATAAATTTTGAAATTTATAAAGACTGATGGAGGACTGCGTCTTATGTGGTCCAGTCTTTTTGCATGTCACAGGTCAAAATCGAGGCTATCGGTTGCATATCGGGTACCAGATATATGTAGGATATGTATATGATATGTATACGATATGCAACAATTACACACATATCGGGTACCTGATATCTGTAATGTTTATGCAGAAGTTCGGTGATATATATTATAGATATCGTGCACATATTACACATATATCGGGTAGTATAATATCGGGCACATATCTTATACATGTCGTATAAATATCATATAGATATTGGTCAGTATAATATCGGAC